TGTACAAATACCTTGGTATGTACTTTACTTGTTTTCTTAAGTGGAATAAAACTAAGGAAGCACTTGTTATTTCAGCAGAGAAAGCTTTGTTTACTTTATTTAGATTCATAAATACTTATGATTTAGGATGTTCGCAGGCATTGTATCTTTTTGATCATATGGTAACTCCTGTAATAACATATGGTGCTGAAATATGGGGCTATTGTTACAGTCCCGGCATAGAAATTGTACAAACAAAGTTTGTTAAAAGACTATTGAGAGTAAAGCAATCAACTTCAAACTTGGCTGTTCTGGGTGAATTAGGGAGACATCCCATGTGTGTTGTTTATTATAAAAAGTGTATAAAGTATTGGTTTAATATTTTAAGTATGGGCTCCACTAGATATCCACGAAGGTGCTATGATATGTTAGTAAATTTACACAATGCTGGAAGAGTAACTTGGGCTACAAATATTAGAGATCTGTTGTACAAATATCGATTTCATTATGTATGGATATATCATGAAGTTGGCGATATAAATAGTTTTATGAGACTGTTTACCCAAAGAGTAAAAGACACTTGTATGCAAGAATGGGATTTTGGAATAAATAACTCTAATAAACTGAATTTTTACTCGGATGTCAAAACGTTAATTGAACCCGAACGATACTTATATTGTATTACAAATAAGTCTCATAAAATTGCTCTAACCAGACTGCGTGTATCCAGTCATGAATTATTTATTGAAAAAGGTCGTGAACTAAAAATTCCAAGGGAAGAAAGATTATGTAATTATTGTTTATATACAAACAATACAAGACTCATTGAAGATGAATATCATTTTTTATTACACTGTCCATTATATGAACATATAAGACAAATGGGTGCATTGGAAAACTATGTTGAAGCAAAATATATGTTAATAACTGGAAATGAAGATAAATTAAGAAATGTTGCTAAATTTGTATATTTAGCTTTTGAATCAAGATCAAATTATATTATATCTGTTACATCACAAATTTAGTATTATTAAATCGGAAGTCAGTGCTATATATTAGTAAATTGTACGTTATAAGGTACTCTGCAGAAATTGTTTTTGATGTAAAAATTGTGTGAATATGGTTATTATGTACTGTGCAAATTGTACTATGGGCTAGTTGGCCTTGAAATACTTAATAAAATATCTAGAACTTGAAAGTCCCTGCTCGTTCCATGGTAAGGAGTATATACGGGGGTTCTGTAGTTAAGTCCCTGCTCGTTCCATGGTAAGGAGTATATACGGGAGTTCTGTGGTTCAGTCCCAGCTCGTTTAATGGTAAGGAATATATACGGGGGTTCTGTGGGTAGGGTGCATTGGAAAACTATGTTGAAGCAAAATATATGTTAATAACTGGAAATGAAGATAAATTAAGAAATGTTGCTAAATTTGTATATTTAGCTTTTGAATCAAGATCAAATTATATTATATCTGTGACAGCACAAATTTAGTATTATTAAATCGGAAGTCAGTGCTATATATTAGTAAATTGTACGTTATAAGGTACTCTGCAGAAATTGTTTTTGATGTAAAAATTGTGTGAATATGGTTATTATGTACTGTGCAAATTGTACTATGGGCTAGTTGGCCTTGAAATACTTAATAAAATATCTAGAACTTGAAAGTCCCTGCTCGTTCCATGGTAAGGAGTATATACGGGGGATCTGTGGGTAAGTCCCTGCTCGTTCCATGGTAAGGAGTAGATACGGGGGTTCTGTGGTTCAGTCCCAGCTCGTTTCATGGTAAGGAGTATATACGGGGGTTCTGTGTGTAAGTCCCTGCTCGTTCCATGGTAAGGAGTATATACGGGAGTTCTGTGGTTCAGTCCCAGCTCGTTTAATGGTAAGGAGTATATACGGGGGTTCTGTGGTTCAGTCCCAGCTCGTTTAATGGTAAGGAGTATATACGGGGGTTCTGTGGTTAAGTCACTCCTCGTTCCATGGTTAGGAGTATATACGGGGGTTCTGTGATTAAGTCCCTGCTCGTTCCATGGTAAGGAGTAGATACGGGGGTTCTGTGGTTCAGTCCCAGCTCGTTTCATGGTAAGGAGTATATACGGGGGTTCTGTGGGTAAGTCCCTGCTCGTTCCATGGTAAGGAGTATATACGGGAGTTCTGTGGTTCAGTCCCAGCTCGTTTAATGGTAAGGAATATATACGGGGGTTCTGTGGGTAGGGTGCATTGGAAAACTATGTTGAAGCAAAATATATGTTAATAACTGGAAATGAAGATAAATTAAGAAATGTTGCTAAATTTGTATATTTAGCTTTTGAATCAAGATCAAATTATATTATATCTGTGACATCTCAAATTTAGTATTATTAAATCGGAAGTCAGTGCTATATATTAGTAAATTGTACGTTATAAGGTACTCTGCAGAAATTGTTTTTGATGTAAAAATTGTGTGAATATGGTTATTATGTACTGTGCAAATTGTACTATGGGCTAGTTGGCCTTGAAATACTTAATAAAATATCTTGAACTTGAAAGTCCCTGCTCGTTCCATGGTAAGGAGTATATACGGGGATTCTGTGGTTAAGTCCATGCTCGTTCCATGGTGAGGAGTATATACGGGGGTTCTGTGGTTAAGTTCCTACTCGTTCCAAGGTAAGGAGTATATACGGGGGTTCTGTGGTTCAGTCCCAGCTCGTTTAATGGTAAGGAATATATACGGGGGTTCTGTGGGTAGGTCCCTGCTCGTTCTGTGGTAAGGAGTATATACGGGGGTTCTGTGGTTAAGTCCCTGCTCTTTCCAAGGGAAGGAGTATATACGGGGTTTCTGTGGTTAAGTCCCTGCTCGTTCCAGGGAAGGAGGATATACGGGGGTTCTGTGGGTAAGTCCCTGCTCGTTCCGTGGTAAGGAGTATATACGGGAGTTCTGTGGTTCAGTCCCAGCTCGTTTAATGGTAAGGAGTATATACGGGGGTTCTGTGGTTAAGTCCCTGCTCGTTCCAAGGTGAGGAGTATATACGTGGTTCTGTGGGTAAGTCCCTGCTCGCGAGTTTTATGGTAAGGTGTCTCATCGGGGGTATCAGTGGTGAGGTAATCTATGGTTCTGTTGGTAGATGACTAACTCGGTGTTCAAGGTGGCCGGGGTATGTAGTCACCTGCCCGAACCCGTGGATTTTCTCCTGGTACTCCGATTTCCTCCCATTTAAAGACCCCCTGCGATCTAATATCCTGGGCAACACCAGTGATAAACATCAGTTTACATCACGTGTTTCATAATTGTTACAAATATACTGTACAGAGTTTATATATGATCATATGTTTTGTATCGACGTGTTTTAACTGTTGGAATGAATTAGTGGTATATATGTGCACATATAGCCATACAACAATAACTTACTTGAATCGATTGATTATATAATTAATACTATAGCTACATGTATATCATTACAAGTTTCTCTGAGAAACCATTGTTGACTAGGCATTGGTATGTGCAGGATGCGATGAAAGACTGAATGTTGTAGGTCCATAACATATCAAAATTTATATTTATCTATTTTTACTATACAGCATTTACAAATGACATTGTTACGGCACATATTTTTGAAAAAACTCAGATGTGTTTACAGGGACCGATGGTCTGAAATTATATAGAATTTAATTGTTCTGGGTGAAGACGGATGTTTTATACCTTTTTATCTTACATTCCCTGCTATTGTCAACCTACATATCGTTTGTATTGAGGTCCCCCTCTCCTGTATGAGGAAATATAGCACGTACAACAGCAAACCTCCATAACTGACTTGCTACAAATGAGTAACTAATGTAATCTTGAGTCAGATAAGAAGACATGTTTTTAATCGCAGAAAGATCCCACAATATCATGTTACCATGCAAAATTTAGGTTATGTCATCAATATGACAAGCGGGGCATTCCTCACATGGCACAGACTGTCTTGGTACGACAGGAATGAGAGACAACACGAAGCAACATGGCCGTCTACAAGACCACCCAGGTAGTATTCATCGTAAGTATATATCTGGTTTTAATGTGTTGTAACGTAAACAAACAATACCTGGATTATGTATTGCAGTTCTGGTCGGAAATGTATTAATCTAATGGAACAATTCGTCTACTCGCTGTCTTTGGCCGAATTCTATAACGTCTTCTGTTGTATGCCCGTCCGTAAATCATTCAGAGAGCAATACATATCTGTGATATAGCAATACATATCTGATATAGCAATACATATCTGTGATATAGGGTATACATTGAATACATTGGGGAATGGGTCACATGCAAAACATTATAGCTTTATGCATATCAAAATGTCTAAAGTCAGTAAATATTTGCAAGATTGCGCAGACGAAAAATACATTTAGGGAAATTAGTGCATGGTAAATGATAGACAATTTAAATTGTTTTCATGAAATATCCTAGACCGCTGGTTTTATCTGTTGTTTAACACGTTATCAAGAAGACTTAATACGTTACGCTTTAGAATATTTGGTTTTTGGCACCAAACATGAGACATTATGACATACCCAACTAGTCATCGACACGTCACATATTATCACTTTGCTGGTTGTGCTAAGTGAACGTTTCTTCACCCTGTACTTACCAACTTGACGAAAATGTTTAGAAATCACCTTCTGTGACAGTTTGATGTTCGACCTTCTTTTTTGGTCAAGGCTACATTCGGATACTTGTTTTGGTTAATCCCCTTAGGCCACACCCTATGACATTTACCATCAGTGCATCTAAAACGGGACTGATTTTGGGTAATTATTGATGTATTTTAAATCATAATGTCAATTCAAGAAATGTTAGTTCATTTTTCATTAAAACATATTATCCACATGTATTTATCTTTTATTATAAGCTGATATAACGCAAAATACTACCAGGGTCATGGAAGCTCTTAAACAGGTACGTGTACCTGTGTAGCTGTACCCTAAATCCGGGAACACTTTGGTTTTTTGACCAATATTGGGGGATAAATGATCACCATTAAAAGAACGTTACACACACTTCAACTTTTGCAGAGACAAAATAGGGTTTGATTGAATTTCTCCTCCAAATCAGCATAAGCTTTGGACAAACAAGTGTCTGAAATTGATACCAAATTAAAGAGCATCCTATGAAATTTAAATGAAGCGAGTTATGTCGCCAACCTTAAACTGTCCGTTTAACCGTAATCAGCAGCCAATAAAGCTAATATACAGACTAACTGACATACCAGTAGCACATAGTGAAGTTGGCATAAATAAAATACTTCTTAGCATATCATGCCAATTGTTTGAGCTGCTTTTCCACAAGTGTCCCGTTTTGCGTAAACTGGCGTTAGGCTTCAACATTACATGGGTCTGCATTGGATATGTAGGCGATGGTTTAATAACATGTCATGGTCTTTTATTGGTATATCAATAATAAAGCTGACTCCGACTGGCTATCGTTAAACAACAAAATATAATTTAAAAAATCACGGATTCGTTATGCAATTGACGTTTGTGTCGAAATGAACACTATATGGTATATAGTTTTCAAGCCGCGAACAAAACTTTTATTTTGTCAAACTTTGTTTGCAATGTTATTGATATATATTCATGACTTACGAAGCAAAACTTAAACGAAGTTAGCGCCACGTTTAAAACATGTATGTATGCTTTACACTACAGATAACGACGTTAGTTGGACTAATTACGCCGATTGCTGTGGACCCAGGTCAGCCCTGTCCAGCCCCTCCTCCTTGTACATGTCGTATCCCCGGAAGTATGATAGACTGCAGTGGGAAAGGTTTAAGCCATGTTCCTGGAATCTCTAATGGCGGTCAGCAGCGTTGGACGGTAGACATTAGCTACAACCAGCTCACCACCATTCCAAAGCGAGCATTCGAAAACATAACAGTCGTGTCGCTCAACATGTCACACAACAAGATTAGTACCTTGTCCATGGATTGCTTAGTCGGTTCAAATGATGTCGTCACTTCCGTTCATATGGAGTCTAACCAGTTCTGGTATCTGCCAAACGCTATAGATGATCTGACGAACCTGGAGATTCTTACAATGCAAGACAACCCCTTCATAATCCTGGGAACTAGTATGTCATTTGCGTCTACTCTTCGCTACCTTACCATAGGTTCTGAGAACTCTCCATGGCCGAAATACATCGACCAATTGAATGCAATAACTCACCTTACAGTCGTAGGTCTAACTTGCTACTCTTTGCCGTTCGACGCATTCTTTAACATGGCAGGTACAATGAAATCACTTGTGTTGCAGAACAATGAATGTAACGATATGCCTGACAGCGTACAAGTACTAACTAACTTGGAGCATTTGGCCGTTATCGACAACCATCTTCTGACGTCATTTGATATCCATAACCTCACCTCACTAACTTCTTTGGTGATAGAAAACAGCAGCTTATCAACTATGCCAAATATTTCAAAATGTACTCATTTACTGAGCATCTACGTCACCGATTCCCCAATAAAATCGTGGGAACTTGACACCATACCACCCGAGTCTAAGCTGAGAAATATCACACTAGACCGCACGGACTTTGATCACATTCCAACAGCTCTACGTCAAATACCACTGGTGGAAAACTTATTAATGAAAAACACAAATGTATCGAACATAGAAGATTCTGATCTGTCCACATTATTTCTGCTGAGAAACCTTGACCTTAGTAACGCATCTTTGGAAGGTATTGCAGTGACTGCATTTAAGCAAAATACAATGTTGTACTCAATCAGTCTCGACAACACTAACCTTGCCGGTGTACCGAGGGCGATAGGCGAGGTAGATTCGCTCTACGTTCTTAACATGTTAGGTGATAGTATCGAGTGTACTTGTAAAGAACTTGGATGGATGAGGCTGTGGGGAGCCCTGGAACACTTTGTTACGGGCTCCGGAACCTGTCAGAATACAGGCATGGATTTAATGACTTATATACGGGAATATGTACCCAAGTGTGCAACATGAATGTATTTTATGTATATTAAAAGTAAATACAAGCAACTCTGTCTCCAATATAGTTTGAATAAATGTATATATATATCAAATGAACTTGTCAAAAAAACAAACATGCATTAACCCCTGAAGTGCCACAGAGCCTATTTGCAGGCTCTATGCACTACTGCGATCTGCGTTGATTTGTTTTACTTGACAAAATGTCCGTGTTAGGTCAGGTCCTGATTGGTCGACATTTAGATATTGATCGATGTTATAGATTTGGTATGCAGATGTATTATGTAGGGTTGTCATTGGTTAGCCGGTTAACCGGTTGCTCGGTTGAAAGACAACGAACCGGCTACCAAACTCCTTCACCGAAAATTCGGACAATTACTTACATGTACCCCTTTTGGGAGCCCCATGTTTCCCTGGCTTAGACCTTTAAACTATCTGCATTTGTGTAGATGCGACCAAAATTGGACAGTTTTGTAATAAAAACAGTCCAAACCCACCATTTTAACAGGATTGAGTCCCCCTTGCCCAAGGATGCTCCAGACCAAATTGGGACGAAATCCCTAAATCGTTGTGGTAGGATTCAAATCTTTCATAGGTTTCACCTCTATTTCCCCTATGGGGCCCACCCCTCTCCTCCAGGGGGAGGCACACCCACCGTTTATACAAAATTGAGTCCCTTGGCCCAAGGATGCTCCAGGCCAAATTAAGTCAAAACATACTGGGTCGTTCAGGACAAGTGGCATTTTAAAGGAAAAGCGGACGGACGGACGGACGGACGCTGCGGTATGGCATAAGCTCATATTGGTCCTTCGGACCGGGTGAGCTAAAAATTGAAGTTTGAAAAAGTTTGAAGTTTGTGCATTAGTAACCAAGCCTTAATATACCACAATCCCCAATAATCAATTTCAGTGTTCGTGCTCATGGCAACGGGCAATATGCCTACTCCTAACAGGATTTCTCACCCGGGTGAGAAATCGTGTCGGGATGAGTAATCGTGCCGTAACACAGCTTCATTGCGGTGGCAAGGTTAATACTGAATCGATGAAGACTAATACTAATGAGCGAATTAAAGGTTTTATGGCCATTTTCAGAGGAATTAGAATTCCTGGTGATCATATTAGTTTCAACACGAAAGTAATTCGGCAGTAGCGTAGCTGCCTTAGGCTCGAGTAGGCACGTTCCCACACATAATTTTGTCAGATACTTGTTTTGAGTCAGTGCAAATGAAAAGTGAAAATATATTTTCATAAAAATTAAAGTTAACACTAAATCCAGGATGTTTTATATAGGTTTAGTACGAAGTGCGGAACATCATGTGGGTTTTTTTGGCAGTCATATTGATCTTCTTAAACACGTAAGTGTAATACAACTTTCAATTTGAAAGTAATCAATGGTAATAACACAACGATGAACATGTTAATAGTGCGGTCGATGCGAAATATCTAACCTTCTGAGATCCCCGTCGCAGTGAAACTGTCCCGTTTTCCGAGCCTCCTCAAAGTAATGCGTCGTTTTTGTATGCCCATGCCCCAATCCTCTCTGATTTGGCACGCATACATGTATGATATCTTTTTATAGGCTGAACCCTAAAGGCAAAACAATATTAGCCGCTTGAAAAAAACCCACCAAGTCTCCATTTCCTGACCCCGATGTGCAAACCATGGTCAACAATCTGCGTAATAGATGGTATTCGGTCGGTATTCATCATTTTGATTCAAATAGCACATATTCATGACTTTATCATGATATCAGAGTTGTCGACTGCCGAAGGGCAAACTTACAACACATTGTTTACAATTCACTATCATGTTCTAATGGAGAAATATTCTATTTCTTTGTGTGATATGAAGATCGATCATTTTTAATTATGCTAATGAGTTTGGCTCTACCCTAATATTCATTTTGAGTACGAAACACATCTTCAATTTGACATAGATTTCATTGTCGATGAAGCTGAAGACGCTTGTACTTCCGGAACACATGATCTTTTTCTCCTTGTAATTTTCAAAGATTTCCATGCCTTTGTTCATTTTTTTGTTTTGTTTTATCGATTCTGAGTTCTCACTGTGATTTTGTTGACACTTCGGGTATTCTCGTTTTTAAGAACGATTCTCCCATCAATAAGAAGTTAAATTAAATTTATCTCTTTTGGGTTCCAATTCGTGTATGTTAAAATCATTACCACCATTTTAAGTATTTGGTATATATATATAGTTGCATATCTAATTATAAAACGCACCGATATACTTATCAATTGATTCTATTTTACATTATTTATAAAATTGTTGTATCAAATCTAAAAAAAATCCACATATCTAACATCCATATGTTCAAGTGCCTACACAGTATTACATCCCAGCTGCGACCCTGATTCCAGCATACGTTGTTTGACTTAACTGCTGAATGCTATCCGCATCTAATTTGCAAACTATCTTTTAACCCTGCCTCTGCACTTTTCTGCAGGGTTATAGTTCAGATTTTCATTTTGTGCCGTATGACCACACCAAATCTAACTGCTCTTGGAGAAATGAGACAGACGCATTTATAGGTGTTGTGTCATCAGCTAATAGATTTGTAGACCTATACCCGTTTCGTCCAATTCGGAAGCTATGTTGCCTACAAATATCAAAAATACCCACGCTGAGAGTGTTCGGCCTTGACCTACCCTTGCATCACGTGTTACTTTATACTGCTTTACCATCATTTAGTACTGCAGCTGAAACATCACAAAAAGAGTCTTTAACTTTACGCCAAAATTGTCCGTTAAATCCTTTTTGGAACAGTTTGTACAATAAGCCGTCAATCCAGACACTATTAAAAGTTTTTTTGTAGTCCAGGAAAGCACCAAACACTTTAGACGAACGTTCTAGGAAATATGAAATTTGAGGTTTTTGAAGTAAAACCTATTTTCATGATGTAATACTTACCATAACTTTAGTATGCATACACAATACCTACACTCATCTTTGTAGCCCAAAAACAAAAGATTCAAATATTCCTACTCCCCTACCGTGACGTAACCCATATCTCGACGACAGAGCCACGGAGTGATCTCCCTTCCTCAAACCACTTTTATGGAGCCTAAAGGCAGCCGGGATGAGGAGGTAAGGGGAGGAATACGGGGTGGGACTCCATAAAGTTATGGTAAGTATTACATCATGAAAATTGGTTTTACTTCAAAAACCTCTTTTCAGTAACAATTACCATAACTTTAGTATGCGAATTCGTCTTACCGCAGTGGAGGCTTCGAATCCAGGCAGACCAGGCTGACGGAACAAACTCGAGACTTGCTCAAGGTAGGGAAAAGGTTCAAGGAACCCCCCTTATAAAGCCCCGAAAGTAATTAAAAAATGGAAAACCTCCCCGTGAAACAAGCAGGTGTACCACCGTTGTGCCTGATAGCCTACTATTTAAAATCCCTGAATTACTGTGGAGGAACAGCTACAGACTGTGCAACCACCATCGGTCCAAGGTAATACAATCCATCAGAATGAGAAGCCAAGGACCGGAGATAAAAATCCGTGAAAATGGTCTGTCCGCTCCAGAAAGCCGCAGACATCTTCTGATAGGGGGGCCCTTGAGGTGGGCCCATGACGCAGCAAGGGCCCTGATCTCATGAGCTCTCACCTTATACAACGCCCGAACGTGATCATCCGATTGATCGTAACCGTACTTGATGACCTGACAGATCCATCTAGACACTGACTGAGAGGAGATATCCTGCTGACCCTGCTTAATGGGCAAAAACAGACGAGATCGAGGTAAAACCTAAGCGCCCGACAGGGACAGACCAACCTATCCCGTTCCTTATACCCAACGAAGGCAGTCAAAGACGGAATCTTAATAGGATCGGGCGAGAAGCCAGGAACCTGATTCTTAGCCATAAAGGCAGGATCAGTGAGAAGGGTAACGGCAGAGTAATTCCTGGACCAGCGGAGGCAAGAGGTGTGAGAAAACAAGGCATGAATCTCACTCCTCCTTCGACCTGAGGCCAGGGCAATGAGGAATACCACTTTGTAGGTAACAAACTTCAAGGAGGCAGACGATAAAGGCTTATAAGGTGCCCGCATCAGCGGTTCGAGCACCAGTGGCAAATTCCACTGCGGAGCCAACTGCCGGACCCTAGGCCTGTCCAACACAAACCCTTTAATCAAGACAGAAAGAGAGGGGGACGAGCCTACCTGCGGCCTACCATGATTAGAGATAACAATAGCAATGGCCGTGCGATAAACAGCGATAGTGCCAGGGGCAAGATTGAGGTCCCTAAACAGCCAAAGAAGGAAGTCCGCAATCACCTGGACAGTAGCCTTGATCGGATCAACCTTCCTGCCGACACACCAATCACAGTAAATCTTCCATCGTGACTGGTAGACGACAGATGAGAAAGACCTAATTGATCGAGTGCGATCTGACACGTCCCTAGAAAAGCCCACCTGAGCGAGGCTTTCTGAGATAGCTTCCACGCGTGAAGGTGGAGGATCTCCGGACGAGAGTGCATCGTCCTGGACCGAGGCTGGCGAAGGAGGTTCGCTTGGTAAAAAAAAGAAGGACCCAAGCTTGAGCCGAGAGGACTGCAGTCTCCCCCGGCCAAACTCGTCGTCTGACACGACCAAGGAGGAAAGAAGAGAGTCAGGAACCCTTCTTCTTACCCCCAGGAGGGTTCTTACCCTTCTTACTCTTCCATTTGTTGCCCTTGAAGGGAGTGTTTATACATGGGCTGCGCAGAAGACTGCGAAGCCGAAGGTTTAGCCTTCTTCTTAAGAGGCGCTGACCCCTGCGAGGTACTGGACTTCTCAGTCTGAATCATCTTCACCAGAAGTGCAGAAGCGACCGAGTCCTCCTTCAAATACTTCTGAACAGAAGGAAGGGCCCCTTCAAAAAGAGTGGACCCTGAGAAGGGGGTAGTCAACAATCTGGAACGGTAAGGCTCATCGTCTGGGCGGTTTTTAAACCTGAAAACCGCCTAGCACACAAAATATTGACGAGCGATGACACCTGTAAAGCTACAAGCGCTCGCAATGCCCCGTTCAGGGCAGAGGTCACTCTGTCCTGGATGTCGGCCAGCTCTGTCTCGGTAATCCGACCCTCGGGCAAGTCGGATACCCCATATAGACAAACCGTCAGGTAGTCTATATAAGACAGAATCTGGATGGAGAGACACAGCAGTCTCTCCATCTTGTGGTGTTCTTTTGGACCGAACACCACCTGGTCCACCGATTTACCGGGCCAGGCTGCAAGTTCCCTCGATTCCAGCTTAGCTGGTTGAGGGGCAAGCAGGCCATCATGTTTGGCATAGTCAGTGGCGTGCACCTCCGACAAATCGCCAACACTGAGCTGCAACCCAGCATACCCAGGACTACGGGTTGAAGAAGAAATTTTCTCTAAATCCCGAGACTGGGCGTTGGCCAGAGCTGAAGACACAATAGTGCCTTCTGGCAGAGAGCGGTCCGACAGAACGGACACCCAAGGAGCCACCAGGGAACACAAAAGGGTGGTGGACTTGGGGACAGATGACGCCAAAGGTGGTGGGAAAACCTCCTCCTAAAGAATCAGTGAAACGTCGGCCCTAAGGCCCCGCATACCGGACAACACATGCTGGGCCTCAATCTCAGCTGCCTCAGGGTCATCCCCATCCTGGACGTCCTCCTCAGGGGACAAGCCCTCTTGAGGACCGTCATCAGACGAACTGGCCAAACTTGCCTGCCTGAGACTGGGGCTGGCCAACTTGCCCAAAGGGCGAAGGTGGACCGCGACTCCCTCCAGGTGGAAACCCGGACATGTACGGGCTAAGCCCTGGGGGGAAACCTTCAAGGTTCCCGGAAGAATGAACCTCTGGACCGGACCTAATAGGACCGGGTCCGGGTAACTTACCGGGAGGGTAAGCATGACCAGCATTGCTACCGGGATTAGTGAGCTGCGCGTCACTTATCCCGGTAGAGACAGACAATCCCAGAAAGTTTGTAGTCACACCAGGACCTGAACCCGAAAGAACAGGCCCGGCACCAAGACTGTCCCCAACGACAGCACCGCCTGGAATGCCAGGATTACTGACAGAGTCAGTGACCGGCGGCCGGTAGTTGCTACCCGAAGGCGAGCACGAAAGCTTACGGGCGTCCCCGGCCAATTCGACCCTGTGCTGTGCCAAGCCAGGGTCGGGCTGCCCCTCCCCTACTCCAGGGATTTCCTGGACCGGAAGGGCCATCCCCTGCTCACGAGAGGGACCCGCCGAAGCGAGACCCCCCGAGACAGGAACAGAGACAGTACCACCAGACCCCAGAGAGCTGGTGGCACGACCCTACCTCTCTGCTTCCCTCGCTTACCGGAAGAAACAGACGAATCTCTCTTACGGTAAGTTGAGGGTAGTTGTGGAACAATGAAGTCCTTGTCCAGAGATTTTGTCTGTGAACAAAGTTCAACAGGCGAAACCTCACTGCAAGGACAATACTGGGGACAAGCATCATGAGGGTCCCGTTCCACGAAGAAATGGGAACACCCATGCGCTCTACCTCGTCGCTGTCCCGATCGAGACATTCACTCCAAAGCGAAAGTAAACAAAAAATTACAAGCAGATAAACACGGGAAAAAATAATAAAATACGATAGTACAAAGTACACAACGTAGAAAGAATTTCACCCGTAATATAAATCCGAAAACGGTTAAAATAAAAAAACGTTTGCCGAAATAAACAACCGTCACTAAAATAAACAGAGGTCGGAAATTAACCCACAATAATGGCGGACCGCGTGGCACACCACCGGCACTCGTGGAGTAAAATAACCGGCCGTAAAAGCACAAAAATAATTTCCAATAATAATTAATTGTATTAACAAGGGCAGATGGGTATAAGGCACACAAACTGCACAACGAATTGAGTTGACACTCTAACCAAACCGACAAAACAAAATTGGGTGTAGGTATTGTATATATGCATACTTAAGTTATGGTAATTATTACTGAAATGAAAAGACTTGACGGCAGTCAAGATAAATGACATTGCGGAATTCTGAAGGTTCAAACAATAAAAAATATAGAAAAACGATACAAAGGCATAAAGCGTTAGCTTGCTTGATATGAAGATTGTTGACAAAAAATGGTCTTTGTCCCACTTTGAAGTTTAAAAGTCCCAACAGCATTGAATAACAGGTGAGCAATAATACTTCCTCAATCGTGCCCTATGTGTAGTCTCGTCTCCATAGTATTGTGCGTTACGTAAGCATTGTTAGTTTTATAGGATTGGACATGTCACTATGTAAATGTTAGATACCGTTACATTTCTTAAAAAATATAATGAAGAATACAACGCCAGTAGTGGTTCATGAAATAATTTTCCTTAAACTGAGATGCTGTATTGATGTGAATTTTGACATTATTTAAGCTGTACAAGTAGTACACAAGTGTGTTGAACAATTGACACGCCAAAGTCTAGGTCGACGTGTTATAAGAAAGCTAACATTCCACCCACCTCATTATGATTTTATAAGTGCAGTGAGAACGTTGTCAGTAACAGGGTATCTACACAGTGGTGTTCAGAGGCCACTCGTCTTTATGTAGCAGGTTTGTGCCGGTAAGTAACATATGTAAACTCTCTTTTAAAGTCATACATGTTTGTAAGGAGGCTATCAATTTCTTGTTTTTGACGTCGATCATCCCATTGATAACCACCACTCTTCTATTGTTTTATTTGTTACAGTGTACACACTATCTATTGTTATTATCATCATACTATGGAATTAATCCATCACGTCAACATTAAGCCTTTTATGATTCCTTTATGTTCTGGTGCTTGAAGATATGTAGATTTTAAATTAGCCAATATAGTTACAGTGGGTTACCGGTCTATTTTAGAATGCTTCGATTCATTTGGAAGTTGAATCTTCCATACGCATTAGATGACGGGCTCAGACTTTGAGAGTTGTACAGCTAATTAAGAGATAGACATGATTGTCTATGGCGCTTGTTTACCCAGGAATGGTTCTAGCTAAGTGACATACATGATTATCTTTAAGGATTGTTTACCACGGAATGCTTCTAGCTAAGTGACTAACACGATTATTTAAATAGTTTTTTTTACCCAGAAACATTTCTGACTAACTGACCGACAAGAGTATTTTTTCTAGCTAAGTGACATAAATGAATGTCTTCACAGAATATTTACCCATGAATATTTCTACCTTGAGACGGACAATATTTTCTAAACGGTTTGTTTAACAAGGAGTGATATGGCTAAGTGACAGACAAGCTTATCAACAGTGTTTGTTTAACAAATTATGTGTCTAGCTAATTGATAGACAAGCTTAGCAACAGTGTTTGTTTAACAAAATATATGTCTAGCTAAGTGACAGACAAAATTATCAACAGTGTTTGTTTAACAAAGTATATGTCTGATTTAGTGACAGACTAGCTTATCAACAGTGTTTGTTTAACAAAGTATATGTCTAGCTAATTGACAGACAAGCTTATCAACAGTGGTTGTTTAACAAAGTATTTGTCTAGCTAAGTGACAGACAATTTTATCAACAGTGTTTGTTTAACAAAGTGTGTGTCTAGCTAATTGACAGACAAAATTATCAACAGTGTTTGTTTAACAAAGTATATGTCTGATTTAGTGACAGACTAGCTTATCAACAGTGTTTGTTTAACAAAGTTAGGTCTAGCTAAGTGACAGACAAGCTTATCAACAGTGTTTGTTTAACAAAGTATAGGTCTAGATCATTGACAGACAAGCTTAGCAACAGTGTTTGTTTAACAAAGTATATGTCTAGCTAAGTCACAGACAAGCTTATCAACACTGTTTGTTTAACAAAGTATATGTCTAGCTAAGTGACACACAAGCTTAGCAACAGTGGTTGTTTAACAAAGTATATGTCTAGTTAATTGACAGACAAGCTTAGCAACAGTGTTTGTTTAACAAAGGATATGTCTAGCTAAGTCGCAGACAAGCTTATCAACACTGTTTGTTTAACAAAGTATATGTCTAGCTAAGTGACAGTCAAGCTTATCAACAGTGTTTGTTTAACAAAGTATATGTCTGATTTAGTGACAGACTAGCTTATCAACAGTGTTTGTTTAACAAAGTATAGGTCTAGATCATTGACAGACAAGCTTAGCAACAGTGTTTGTTTAACAAAGAATATGTCTAGCTAAGTCACAGACAAGCTTATCAAAACTGTTTGTTTAACAAAGTATATGTCTAGCTAAGTGACAGTCAAGCTTATCAACAGTGTTTGTTTAACAAAGCATATGTCTAGATCATTGACAGACAAGCTTAGCAACAGTGTTTGTTTAACAAAGTATATGTCTAGATCATTGACAGACAAGCTTAGCAACAGTGGTTGTTTAATAAATTTTATGCCTAGCTAAGTGACAGACAAGATTATCAACAGTGTTTGTTTAACAAAGTTTTTGTCTAGCTAAGTGACAGACAAGCTTATCAACAGTATTTGTTTAAGAAAGTATATGTCTAGCTAATTGACAGACAAGCTTAGCAACAGTGGTTGTTTCATAAAGTATATGTCTAGCTAAGTGACAGACAAGCTTATCAACAGTATTTGTTTAAGAAAGTATATGTCTAGATAATTGACAGACAAGCTTAGCAACAGTGGTTGTTTCATAAAGTATATGTCTAGCTAAGTGACAGACAAGCTTATCAACAGTGTTTGTTTAACAAAGTATATGTCTAGCTAAGTGACAGACAAGCCTATCAACATTGTTTGTTTAACAAAGTATATGTCTAGATTATTGACAAACATGCTTAGCAACAGATGTTGTTTAATAAAGTTTATGTCTAGCTAAGTGACAGACAAGCTTATCAACAGTGGTTGTTTAACAAAGTATTTGTCTAGCTAAGTGACAGACAATTTTATCAACAGTGTTTGTTTAACAAAGTATGTGTCTAGCTAATTGACAGACAAGCTTAGCAACAGTGTTTGTTTAACAAAGTATATGTATAGCTAAGTGACTGACAAGCTTATCAACAGTGTTTGTTTAACAAATTATATGTCTAGCTAATTGACAGACAAGCTTAGCAAGAGTGTTTGTTTAACAAAGTATGTGTCTAGCTAATTGACAGACAAGCTTAGCAAGAGTGTTTGTTTAACAAAGTATATGTCTAGCTAAGTGACTGACAAGCTTATCAACAGTGTTTGTTTAACAAATTATATGTCTAGCTAATTGACAGACAAGCTTAGCAACAGTGTTTGTTTTACAAAGTATATGTCTAGCTAAGTGACAGACAAGCTTATCAACACTGTGTGTTTACCAAATTGTATGTCTAGGTAAGTGACAGACAAGCTTAGCAACAGTGGTTGTTTAATAAAGTATATGCCTAGCTAAGTGACAGACAAGATTATCAACAGTGTTTGATTAACAAAGTATATGTCTAGCTAAGTGACAGACAAGCTTATCAACAGTATTTGTTTAAGAAAGTATATGTCTAGCTCATTGACAGACAAGCTTAGCAACAGTGGTTGTTTAACAAAGTATATGTCTAGCTAAGTGACAGACAAGCTTATCAACAGTATTTGTTTAAGAAAGTATATGTCTAGCTAATTGACAGACAAGCTTAGCAACAGTGGTTGTTTAACAAAGTATATGTCTAGCTAATTGACAGACAAGCTTAGCAACAGTGGTTGTTTAACAAAGTATATGTCTAGTTAATTGACAGACAAGCTTAGCAACAGTGTTTGTTTAACAAAGTATATGTCTAGCTAAGTGACAGACAACCTTAGCAACAGTGTTTGTTTAACAAATTATATGTCTAGCTAAGTGACAGACAAGCCTATCAACAGTGTTTGTATAACAAAGTATATGTCTAGCTAAGTGACAGACAAGCTTAGCAACAGTGTTTGTTTAACAAAGTATATGTCTAGCTAATTGATAGACAAACTTATTAACAGTGTTTGTTTAACAAAGTATAAATCTAGCTTAGTGACAGACAAGCTTAGCAACAGTGTTTGTTTAACAAAGTATATGCCTAGCTAAGTGACAGACAAGCCTATCAACAGGGTTTGTTTAACAAAGTATATGTCTAGCTAAGTGACAGACAAGCTTATCAACAGTGTTTGTTTAACAAAGGTTATGTCTAGCTAATTGACAGACAAGCTTATCAACAGTGTTTATTTAGCAAAGTATATGTCTAGCTAAGTGACAGACAAGCTTATCAACAGTGTTTGTTTAACAAAGTAGATGTCTAGCTAATTGACAACCAAGCTTAGCAACAGTGGTTTGTTAATAAAGTTTATGTCTAAAAGACCCAGCATTTTCCGATGCGAACATGAATTTTGGGGCAGTGATGGCTGGGCTGAGGCGGGAGGGCCGGGAACGATTGATCATTGCCCTGTGATCAGTGTGACTAGTATTATTTTGCAGGGTTTTTTTTATCCAAAGGGCCTTCGACGGGATAAATTCGTGACACAGTTTGTTAGTGACCTAATACGGAAAAATATTGGGTCTAAAAAAAACTTGTATCGGGCGAGGCGAACACGCCCGATACAAGTTTCTTTTAGACCCAATATTTTTCCGTATTAGGTCACTAACGGGCTGTGTAACTAATACTATTGTACTTTATCGTCTCCTCACTGTAATAATAACAGAATAAATTAATAAATAAGGATGAGTTAAACCATCAAATAGATAACTGGATGCAATTATAATATGACTATATATATATATATATGACATATTTGTTCTATACATACAATGTATATACATCTATTGTACTTTATCGTCTCCTCACTGTAATAATAATCATCAAATATTTCATACATTTTAATTCGCCAGGCTTAAGTTAAAATATAATGACATAGGAGTGCTCCCCATCCCCGGTAATGTTTTGTGTTTTGTTTTTGTTTTTTATTCTGTTTCAGTTTGTTTGGTTTTTCTCTTGTGTGTTTGATGTCATAGGTTTATATATATTGTTTTTGCATCAGTGTCTCAGTGTATGTCTTTATGTATGTACATGACATTGGCAAATTTTTGCTTAATATCTGCTTATGTGTTAATAATAATATGTTATATGATGATGATGATGATGTCTGATGATGATGATGATCTTTGTTTAATATGTATGAACAATCATGTACTTAGGAACAATGTCATATATGTTTTGTCTTGTCTTGTAAAAAAAAAAAAATATAATAAAAAAAATAAAAAATAAAAAAAACAAAGTTTGTGTCTAGCTAAGTGACAGACAAGCTTATCAACAGTGGTTGTTTAATAAAATACATGTCTAGCTAAGTGACAGACAAGCCTATCAACAGTGTTTGTTTAATAAAGTTTATGTGGAGCTAAGTGACAGACAAGCTATGTGTCTAGCTAATTGACAGACAAGCTTAGCAACAGTGTTTGTTTAATAAAGTTTATGTCAAGCTAAGTGACAGACAAGCTTATCAACAGTGGTTGTTTAATAAAACATATGTCTAGCTCAGTGACAGACAAGATTATCTTTAAGGTTTGTTTTCCAAGAAATGTAGTGGCTAAGTGACTGACAAGATTAACAAACTTTGCTTACCCTGTAACGTTTCTTGCGATGGTCCACAGTAGCCGTCACGGTAGTTACCTCTATTG